ATAAAGGAAACTTATCCTAAGTATTTACAAAAAATGTTAGAAGTAGACAACCTTTGATAAAATTAATGTTTTTTATATAAAATTTAAGGTTGTTTATATAAGCTAAAAAATCAATTAAATTAAAGTAAAATTAAGTGATGTTATAATTACTGTTAAATTCAAAAAAAATTAAATTGGTATAAATCATATTATTTCGTCATTAATACCTAAACTTTCCAGAAACTTGTTTCATGTTAAGAGTGCTTAAATCTAAAATTAGTTTAAATTGTCATTTTCTACTATTACTCAACTTCTACTCGCATTTGGTCTTCGGCATTCAATTTGGGGTTTCAGCATTACTTAAAACATGTTTTAAAATACAGAAAAGAGCATTAAGAATCATGTTCTCTCTTAAACTCGATGACAAGGGTAGAAATATTTTCAGAAGTATAAATTCTACCGTTCCTAAATATTCCTACTTATTCACTTCTCTTTATAAAAAATAATCCCCAGTACTTTAATTTATCTTCCATGTATGATTCCACTATGTCACAAGAAATAGAACTATCAAAGGATCGACTTTTAAGCTATTAATACTACTTTTAATTCAATTGATGGTTGGTATTGTATTCCACTGTTCAATTATTACCTTACAAATACGTCAACTAAGCAATTCATAAATCCACAAACGTTTTGATTAATTTACTAAAAGAAACAGTTATGATATTCTGAATATATTATTTTGACTTCAAGAAATACAGTGGTACCATCCCTTTAATATCATAAATATCTATTGTTTACTGTTATATGTGATATCTTACAAATACAGCAATTTTTGGCTATAACTGAGTATTACTTAGCTTTGAAATATTTTTCTTCGTCTCTGATACTGCTCTTTTTTTTCAGAAAAGCTTTTTAAACTTTTAAATAATTTCTGCAAATTAATGGATATACAGGACCTCAATTTTGAAGATGCTCTAAACGAAGATGTATATCAAGTTAATATCATAAAATTCAAGACTCAAAATTAAATTAGTTTAGCACTCCTTTATTGTATTTTTTATTGGTTGTTTCGTTATTTAATTGTAAAAATTTTAAATGTATATCTAATACATCTACATCTATAAATATAAAAAATATAATATAATATATGATTTCAACGAAATAGGAGGTGAAACAAGAAAAGATTTAAAATTTAAGAAAAAAATCAGTGGCGGTATATAAATAAAAAAATCACTTAAAGCTATAATAAATGACTAGAATTAAATACTAAAAAATTCATAAATACTAAATTTTTGTAATTCAATTTAACTCTTACGATATGATTATTAATGATAAATGATTATGATTTAGAGGCACTTACCGAACACTTTCTGGAGACGGTTACTGGGCTGAAGCTCTGCCTAAGACATCGGCGCCTCTATGTGCTACTGCAGACCCGCAAGGGACTACCGATGGCATGCACGCCACTGCGGCGGTGCCGAAGTTGCTTCTTTCGTATGCGAACTCAAAGGTACAGAAACCCATGATAATATTCTAGAAACACAAATCATTATATAGTTAGTATAATTAAAAATATAATATAATACATACGCCAATAGGTGACAAAGGGCCTATACCGCAAGATAAAAAATTGTGTTTTAACTATTATTTTCAAAATTTGATATTCGACGATTTTGATATGATGATAAGATATTTTTTGCATAAATTAAATGCGTAATGTTTTTTTTTTTGGTAGTTCCCGATTGGACAAAGAATGCACTGTCTCAACTATGACCGGTATACAGTACGCTTACCTTCCGGAAGAAGTCGCTGTCCAACTTGAAGTAAAATGCCCACTTGATGAAGATGGATTAAGAAAAGTTCGCTGTCAAGGCAGACAGGTAATAAATATTTTTTTTAAAAAAAATTTTTAATTTGGTTCAGATTCAATATTATTATTTTTATCATTTTTAGGACCGCAAGGCTATGGAGAAGCAGCTAGCATGTGTTCCAGAAGCCGGAGATATCTTAGACAATATGATTCCTCAGTCATCTGGATCCGGTAAAGTAACTACCAAGGCTCCAGCCGTCCCCAAAACTTGGCGCTATACTTCTATCGCAAGTCTCGAAGACGGACCTCAAACCAGACATCGCAGAGAAGCAGATGTAGCTACTCCTTCAGAAGCAGATGCCACTTGGAGCAGCACTTATCGCAGCACATCTGTAGATGAAGAAATCGAAGCCCTAGAAGAAACAGCACGACGAGACGGCGTTTTAGTAGAAGACTCCGATGTCGACATGATGATGGCAGATGAACGCACCATAGAAAATTTCGTCGTGGACAGCACCCAACCTCCGAAGCTACGGATACAGAAATTGATGTTATTGAAACTGTTAACAGCATTAGCGAATCCGCAACTCCAAATACTGTATCCACAGAACCAGAGAAAGATCAAGTTATAACCACCTCCGAAGCACAGATTAGTAGTCAATCAACGCCCCTTTGCAACCCGATCAACGTGGCATCAAACCCCAATGGTACATGCAAGATCAGATTCGAAATCTATGGATTGGGTCAGCACTGAAGCAGATGATCATACGGCCGAAATGAAATTACTGGGACATTTGCCAAAGGGTCACATCGTAGTAGATAATAAACAACCACATACCACGCCATAGATGAAAGTGCAAGTGCAAGCAGTGCAGTTAACTTAGAAATGGCTTCTGAAACTACTGAAAATGCAGGTTCTAGCACAACGACTTCGCAAAATATATTACCGATAGATACTGATATTGTTTTTGTTAAAAGAAAGTTCGTACAGTATTGTTAAAAATGGCACGGTCATAGATGTTCTGGAATTGAATGATACTATTTCGGAGGAAGAAAAAACCACGAGCGATAATGTTGTGATAGCACCAATTGTAAGCGATAAGGAAATTGAAGACAACATGATTTTAAACGATGATGAAGAAAAACCTCTCAATGTGCAGAAACAAGATAAGAAGAAAAATATCTGAGCATAAAGTTGTCGAACTCACATTCACCGAACCGAGCGTATTTTCATCAAGTTTCGTAATTACAACCAAGAACTTCAAGGAACCAACAAATGCACCATCTATCCAAACAAAAACTCAAACGCAAGAAATTGATCCTAAAATCGAAATACTGAATTCCAATGATTCCAAGGTAAATACAGACAGTGAATTGCTGTTCGAAAATAAATCTGCGCCGTTCATTACAACTGATGCATCAAAGGAAGCGACGACTTCCGAGGCATCTAAAAAACTGAAGATTTAAGTCCTACTCCTAATGATACCGAAAAGGAAACAGTTGAATTTCAGGAAGCAGATATAGAACCATCAGAAGAAATGGATTCAGAACCAGAACAGCTTCACCGACCTAATAGAAGGCGCTTGCTAACACAACCCAAAGCAAGGGGTGGATATCCATTTCACATCAGACGAGTGTTAGGGTAACTCAATAAATAATAATCTTTTAAGTGGATTTATATAAAGACATTTGTAATTGATGGTAGTGTTATTGTATGTTTACTTCATATGCCCAATCACTTTGGCAATTAAAAAATATCGGAGCGCACAGATATTCTTACAAGAATATCGCATGTAAAATTTTAAATTCGAATGAAATTTGGTTTTAGATTTTAGAATGAGCTTCTAAGTAGCGTTATAAACAATTGATTTTTAAATAGAATTAGTTGTTGTTGTTTTAATTTTACATTCTCTTCCAATTTTATTAAAGTTGCAAATTTACGTGTATAAAAATAATGATATTAAATTCGATTATATCAGGAACGAAACCAGAAAGCATTAATTATTAGGGCGAGTAAAAATTTTGTATATTTCTAGGATTGCCAATGTTAAAATAGAAATTATAAGTAGATATCAAATGTAGAATTAAATATAGTATATGTAGAACTAGATTTTCAAGCTAGATAATTTGATGTTAAATATATATTTAAATTTTTTGACTGTTAGAAATCTTTTATGAATGATTAGACTTGCGCTTCGTATTCTATTATTATTTCATAATGTTGATAATAATAATGGTACTGTTTTACTTATTTTATAGGAACCTAGTGAGTGGTATTTGAGTAACAAAATATAATTCCATCGATCGCATTCAAAAATGTTGAAAAAAACTGCACAACACAAAAAATGATATTAAAACGCACCGTCCTTTAACCAGATAAATTTTATTATATTATATAAAATATTAAAATTTAAGTACTTAATATTTAAACATTTTGGTATTTATAAATTTACATATACACATTAATGAGTATGTGTGAATTTATTCAAAAATTGTTTTGCACAGAAAATACTATATATTTTATGAAATATTATAAAAACTAAGCAAAACTTTTGTATTTGATGGTTACCTATATTTGAATTGAGCAGGCTCAAAGCTAAGTTATAAATTATTCAAATTTTATCACATAGTGAATTCTCAACTTAAACCAAAGATAATTTTCAGTAATCAACATTCCTTAGTATTTAATGAAATATTTTTATTAAAGAATATTTTGCAGATTACTTATAAGCAAAAGGTTTTACTTTTGTTTATTCAGGTTTATTCCAATGTAAATATCAATTTATTTGTAGAATACAAATATCGTCGTCTTAAATATATCTTCAAAAATTGTTTATAAAAAATATTGTTTGCAAAATATTGTATTATTATTTGATAATAAAATTTAATCATTTATTGAACTTCTATCACTTTATATTGAAAATCCCTAACTAATAAAAGTAATAAAATAATAAATATTTATCAAAAAAATATAAAAATATATTTAAACATTTGTACAATTAACATCATATTTCATATAAACTTGCTAGCAAATCAAGGCTTAATAAAAACTTAAATATTAAAAACAACTTCATGAGATTAAATAATAACAATACTTTGCTAGAGATTCATAAATATTAAAATATTTTTATACATATGAAGTAAGTAAATAATATTCTACTAATAATTATATTATATTATTCAAACAAAAGTTTAAAGCTAATAAACATTAAGTTAGTAATTTTCCATTGACTATTTCCAAACACATTTTTCTCCTAAAATATTTCATATCATTTTGACTAAAATTAATTTTTGCTCCTCTACATATGTACTCCGCAAACATACATGAAAATACTCCACAGTCACAACCATTCATTTGTTGAGGTATATCCTAAAACCAATTATATGACAATAAATTTAAAATCTTTAAGCAGTAAAATATATAATTGTAAAAATTCACAATACCTTTACTGTCTCCTTTGTCCAGGTACTTGTATCTAGTGTTACTTTCTTCTTATCCAATGACTCCTCTTTCAAATAATTTTCTGCCATATCGAGAACACCTTTATTGGAACCGCCCATACTATCATAATACTTTATAGTTTTATGTTTAAAATCAATAATTAACATACACCAATGAACACCACTAACGTGAACTGGAATTGGCATTAAATCAAATGAAAATATATCCACTTTCCTTGTCCATCTACGAACGGAACTGTAACCACGAGTTCGAAGATTGACTAAGAAAAAACTGTCCATGGCATGAACCTATAATATATAAGTATATTTAATATAGAGAATATTATAAAAAATAATAAAAATAAGAACATTAAAATTGCCTTAAGATTTCCTGGTTCAGCTCCTCGTTGTGTTAGTAATTTCATATAGAAATTTATGACATTATCATTTAACCAATTTAAGCCACTCAGTGAATAAAGACAAGCGCCAGTAATGTTGTAACCAAATTTTTGAATAATCTGCTCTTGAGATGGAGAGCGCATGGCTTTATTGATTTTAGCATCTTCCTCTGGAGTGAATTCGGGTAATACTGTTTCGACCTCAAGTGGTTTCTCCTCCACTAAATCTATAACTTCTTTTATTTGCAGCTGTTTCAATAATCTCTCATTGATAATTTCATCAAATACTTTATTTTTGTCACTAAGAACTTGAGCTCGCAATTTTTCATCATTAATTTTCAATTTCTTTTGAAGTCCACTTTGGTCAAATCGTTTGTTTCTAGAAGAATAAAATAAAAAATAGAATATTCGCATTAATTGAAAAAGTAAATAAACTCACAAGTTATGTATCCATTCAGTATGCTTGGTGACTGGTGACACATTTTTCCTTCTAATAGTAATATTCTTTAAAGCCCCATTAGTATCGCCTTCTCTTGATAGTTCCAGAATCGATTTCCTAGACTTTTCATTTTTAAGGATACTCTTTCGATTGTCTTCAGCTTTTTCATCTTTAGTTAAATCCACCATTGAAGGTGTCTTGAATGAGTTTTCATCTTTAGTTAAATCCACAAACAAAGGTTTCTTGAATAAGTTATTTTTATTTTGTTCAAGTGTGACACAAGCCACAGGCGCGTGACTTTTAATAAGATTACAGTAATTAATTTTTTCACGTAATTTGTTTACGTCATACAAAGCTGAACTTTTATTCAAATCTAGATTTCGATTTTTGTCAGTTAGAGGATGCTGAGCATACTTAGCTGCCAAATTTTCTTTTTTTACATAATTTAATTTATGATTTTTATGTTTTTGTATATGATTTAAAAATTCAGTATCCTTTGGTTTCAATACACATTGTTTTGGTTTATCCATCTGCATAAATGTTTCAATATATTTAGTAAGTATAACAGAAATAATATTTATAATTACAGAAACTTACAATTACATGTGTTCCATTAGATTTGAGCGGAGTAGCAGATAATGGCATTTGGTAACTGTTATTCATACTTGAAGTACATTCATTATCATCTATGACTACACATACATTAATTAGGGGTTATTATTTAGAAATTACAACAAGTATGTTATTATTATTTGAATATTTACCAATATTTTCTTCATCATTGTTATATTTCATACGTTTATTTTGATGCATGGAATCAGCAACGTAGTAGCTGTCTAAATGACTGAACAAAACAGAAGATTGTCAATAAAGTTTTCAGTCCGAATCCGAATTGATCAAATAATTTTGTTTTGTACATACCATCGTTTATTATTCTCAGTTGTCAACTGCGGCTCTATAACTTCTTCTTCGGGTCCCGAAAAATAATAAAAAACCCGCCTAAGTATTGACAACATTTCACCAACGTCGATAAAACTAACAATTCATTAAAATTAAAGGGGGCATGTTAAAAATCAACTATGAAACAATTATAACTAACTTAATTTGCACTAAATAAACTTATTAATCAAATTATCAATATGCAAAGAACAATTGTTGCACAAAATGATAGTTTTTGTATAAAGAATTAGAAAAGTCAAGAATCAGCAGTACCACCAGAAGTGACAAAATAAAATTCAAAATCAAACATTCAGCATACAGAAAAAGTTTAAAAAGAGCTCTATTTAGCTATATATATTGAAATATAAATTTTTAAATAAAGAAACTTATTACGTTATTTTTTTAATTATGTTAATGTACCATGTCTCAAAAACTCTACTGTTGGATTAAAGATTTACTATGGATTTACTAACCTTAACTAATTTTATGCAGTACATGTTTTTGTAATTATTTTTCATATAATTAAGTTATTGTTAATACTTATAATATTTGTGAAGTCTGTAACTATAATAATTAAGTTAGTTTGTTAATGCAAAAAATTATCTTGTGCCCAGTTCAAATATTAATTTCTTATGTTACTTTACCTGCATTTTCTGAATCTAACTTCAACTCGACCTGTCACTGTCACTGTCAAATAAGAATATCGAATGTCAAACTTTAATGATAATTCACACACCGCTATTCCGCCTAGTGATAAATTTATTTATTTTGCAAATTACAGATGTATTTGTTAAACATTTGATCTGCTATGGACGGGGGTAGTATAGATTTACAGACAAAATATGACAAACTTGCTTCAGAATATTCCAAGGTAATTTGCACATAAAAATTGTACTAGATAATTTCAATATCCTGTCTATTTAAACGATATAAATAATATAATCATGAGAACTGGAATATAATCACAAATCTTGCTATTAAACAAATATTTTTGCTCATAATGTGATAATGTAAAATCAAACTGTAAAATAATTATTAAAATTTAAATTAATCATTATGTTTTTATGTTAGTTGCGAGCACAGGCTACTGTACTACGACGTGCAGTACTGGAAGAACAGAGCAAAAATAGTAATCTAAAAGAAACATTAAGAAGTAAAGAAATATCCCTTCGGAGAACTGAGCAAGAAGTAGATAGCTTGTGCTTTAGAAATGAGCAACTGTTGAGAAGAGTATCAACGTTACAAGATGATTTAGATAGTGAAATAAAAAATAAAAAACATAAACGTCGCACTGATTCAAATAAACAATCAGTAGATAAAAGTGTAATTGATGAAGATCTAGAAAAAAAAATTGTGGAGATTTCAGAATTGACATCACAAGTAAACCTTGAATATTCCATTGTAAAATTAGATTCTTATATTCATGTAAATTTATATTACAGATTTCAGATAAAGATTCTGAAATTCTCTTATTAAATGAAAGAGTTGAAATATTAGAAACCCGTTTAGCAAGGCAATTGCAAGAAAGTGCCAACACAGAAAGTAAACTACGTAAACAATTGATTTCACATAGATGTAAAAGTGGTGATGCTGAAATTGTGTCCGAAAGTTCTGAAGCTGCAAGTCTAGTAATTCTGTGGACTGATTTATAAAGTATAAAATATTAACTTATATAATAATAAATCTATATTGTAGGTTGGGAGTGAGGACAGTTTATCTGTGGATGAACATGCAATAAATAGCAATGATGAAAAATTAGTAAATACCACACATGTTAAAAGCAATTTAAATACTTCTAATAAAAGTGCTGAATCAAGTAGAATAACAGAATTAGAAAGAGAAGTTCAACACTGGAAAACGGAATATGAGCTTCAAAAGATGATGACCACATCATATCCAAGTAATACTTTAGTACAGCAATCAAATGGTAATAGTAATGCAATAGAAAGAGAGTCAGAAACCATCACAAAAACTGAAATTCTTGGAAGGTATTTAATAATATCACTGACTTTGTTCTTTAAATTTAAAAGATGCTATTTTTATTAATCTTTGTTAGAATAAAAACACCTACTGCAGCTAATGAAGAAGCTTGTGCCAGAGAAGCAAAACTTAGGAATTATTTCACAGACAGATTAAATTCATTAGCTGAATCTAAATCATTAGTAGCTAGTCAAGTAAATAGTTTAACAATAGAGGTATTGAAGATTGAAATTATTTATAACAAATGCTCATACTTTTAACACCACATGTACATTTTAGATTTCAGCTTTACGAAATCATTTAGAAATTAAAGACAATGAAATTCAAAATATTTACCATGCATCCAATGCTTTGGAAAATAAGTGCAAAGAGCTGGAAGAAGAATTGGTAATAATTTAAATTGATATTAAATAGAATTTTCAAAGAGAATTTTCAAATTCTATCACATCATATTAAATTAATTTTTAGTCAACAACAAGAATGAATTATGAAGAGCAATTAAGAATAGTTACAGAGCATGCTGCAGATTTGTATGATAAATTAGGTCCTACAAGATAGAACACTGGATGTTTTATTTGCTGCCTGTTTGAATCTACATATATAATTAAGAAATGTAACCAATTATTGAATTCCTATTTTTATTATATTGTTTAAAAAACTGTTATTTAAATAAAGTATATTGTTTGCATTTATATGAAGGTAATATATGTAATATAAGTATAAATCAATAAATTTATGATTTTATGTATATCTAGAGTTGATAATTAAATCATAAACTTTTGAATGTTTTTATTTATTTTTGTAATAACAATATAATTTTAACAAATATATATTAAATTAAGTTCATACGTAGATTTAATCTAACCTTAATGCAAATGAAGATCCACAGGAGCATCCTTGTTCAGCCCTAGGGTTCGATAAAATTTTAAAGCCTGTTCTTATTAGCTCAGCATGGTAGTCTACTGTTGCGCCTTTTAGAAATTCTAAGGAATCTTTGTCTACTACAACTCGACTGTTTCCAGTACCAAATATTCTAAAAAAATAAAGCTTGATATTATCTATAGCTGGCAAAAAGGCTTCATTTTGTGCAAGCCAATTATTTGAAAGAATAATTTGAATTAACATAACTAAACCTACTTATCGTCTTCTGCAATTTTGGTGTCAAGATCAAATTTGTACTGGAATCCTGAGCACCCTCCACCCTCGACGACAACTCTCAAAAATTGATCATTTTCACAAATTTCTTTCAAACGCTTGACGCAAGATTCAGTAAGTAATAAATCTTGTTTTACATCTGTTGTATAAAGTCGTGATGCAAATACAGAAATTGCATTCTGTTCTAACCTATCACATAAAAATATATAATTATATTATGATGTGTTAGATCTATTATTATATATGTATCTTAGCACTAGGATTTATTACTTAATATTAGAACGAATTTGTTTTCTCAAAAGCGCGTTCAATAACGTTACCATATCTAGTTTTTGTCAGGATTCAAATTTAGTGCAAAATTTTGACGTTTGATCGTATGCAAATTTGAGGTTATGCACCCCAGTCCAGTGCAACTATTTTCGAACGGGTTGTCTACATTATTTTGTTTCAGTACGGGTTGACCAATCGCTCATCAACGACGATAAATAAAACACTATTAACTGCAAAACGCAAGTTGACGAATATTTTTTAATTTAAACTTATAAATAGCATCCACTGAAATCATTTTGAATAAATATTTCACGATGTCTATCAACGACTGTGAAGAGAAACGAGAAATCATCGAAAGGAAGTTGGAAATTCCGGATTTCGCGTTGAAGCATCCCCTTCAGCACACATGGACTTTGTGGTATTTTGAAAACGACCGGCAAAAGACATGGGAAGAAAATCAACGAGAAATAGTCAGTTTTGCTACAATTGAAGACTTCTGGAGTGTTTATAGCCATATAAAGATGGCTAGCGAATTGCGTCAAGGATGCGATTATTCCTTGTTCAAAAGCGGCATCAGGCCAATGTGGGAAGATGACGCCAATAAGCATGGAGGTAAGTGGGCCATCACCATGGACAAAAAGCAGCGAACAAATGATTTGGATAGATTCTGGTTGGACACCCTTCTCTGCTTAATCGGTGAAGCTTTTGAAAATTCCGACGATGTCTGTGGGGCTGTGGTGAACGTACGAGCCAAATGGGACAAAATCGGCGTCTGGACGAAGGATGCCAGCCATTGTTCATCTGTTATGGAAATCGGCTGGAAGCTGAAAGAACGATTGCGCATTGCACCCAAGATTCAGATTGGTTATCACACCCACAAGGATGCCATGGCCAAATCTGGATCTTCAACAAAAAGCTCTTATGTTGTTTAAAAACTGCCAATGCATGTTAGATTCTTTAAAGAATTCTCTTATTAGTTGCCACTCTGGAAAGGGCAAGACTTTTGTTTGTTATTCAGATAATTATATTTTCCGCTTGCTTGATGGCAGAATGAATGAATGTTTTCTTTTCTAAATTTTGAATACAATTATTTGTTTATATATAAATAATTAATAAGTAATTTTTCTACTTAATGACTGATACTTGTGTATAATTAAATTAATTGTGAATAAAGGTAACAGTAAAATATTTATTCGTAATTCATATTTACAAAATATCAATCACTATTAGAAATATAATATAGAAATAAATATTATAAAGCCCAAAAATAATACAAATAATTTAAGAAACAATTGAATTTTGCAACTTTTGTAATATAAATCATTTATATTCACATCACTTAAAAATAGAAACTGCCTATTTAAAAGAAAGAAAGAATTTAATTCATTTAGGTATTTACTACTTATAAATATATATATATATATATATATATATATAAAGAAAACATGTTTATTTTATATTTGTCATATATTTATTAATAATTTAGTTTTGCTACATCAACACTGCATAGATAGCACTGGACACATCTACAAATAATATGAATAGTGTTATCCAACAGTTATTTTGTTAGTTACTTTATAATGAAATACATAAAATAATTTGATTGAAAATAAATCTTGCATTTTGATTGACTTAATAACACAACAATAGCTAACAATATCATTAGTGATGGAGATTCGATTGAATTTCGTATGAAGTTATATCGTATTGGAAGTCTCATTAAAAAACAGAATGTATTTTTAATATTAATAATTTTTAGTACAATTTCTTGTATGCAGTAAGAGCTTCAAAAAAAAAATGGACAGCACATTTATTTATATGCATGTACATATATATTAATATACATATATATATATATATATACATGTTCATATATATATTTTTATATATATTTACTTTGCTTTATTAAACATTGAACACATATACCATAAAAAATTAGAGCAAATAATAAATATTTTTCCAAGTGAACACCAATTATTGAACAAAATTTATATGCAAATTATTTTACAAAGATATAAGGTAAATAATTCAATTACAAAATATCTTGGTGTCCATTTGACTTAAATAATTATCTTTGACAATAACAATTTACTTACAAACATTTACACTGTTATGCTATATTTTTGCTCAATTGCATTTTCAGAACTTTCTATTAATGAAAGATCTTTTTGATTACTGCAGTTCGTAAAAAATATTCATTATATATCAATATAATATTGAGAATCTCTTTCTTAAATAATAATGAAAAATGTTAATGCACATTTACTTTCTACTTAAATCCCAGTTGAAATAAAAATATGTTTTGTATCAAATTAATTTTTATAGACTATAGGAATGAAAACGGTTGTAAAAATATTCTAACCAGTTTTAATTTTTTATAGGCCGATCATCCAGATAGTTATTAAGAATAAAACATAGATGGCTTGCAATAAACACAGTAACTGATAATTTTTTTAACTTAAATGTTATAATTTCAAAAATCTATACTACATCAGTTTATCAATTAATCCATTTGTACAAATTTTTATTGCACTTATAGAAGCTGCAAATGTGTTCATAAATCGTGTTACTGCAGTAAACAAACAACAAACATGTTTGTTTAAAAAAAATCACATGCAGTATACAAATACCAATTGCAACAAGAATTTTAAAGTTAAAAGTAAGTATGCATTTACTACAGTGACTTTGTCAATAATGAGATTCACAAATTTATCTATATTAATATTTCTGTAACATAAGAATTTGACTAGATTTGCACTTGTGACTGAGATTTTATGAAACTTTGGTAAACAAATGCTCTTAAACTAAATACATTACAAACATTTGAAATATAATAATGCCTGCATATTTATATTTCTCATGCTATGTACCCAAGCTAAATTTATCCCGAGTATTAACAACTTTGATGCATGAATTAGAAAAAGCTTTCAAATTATTTTAATTATAAACATGTCATCACAATAAAGATATTTTACACAATGAGAATTGTATTCTTTTTGTGGTGTGCAAAGATCAAAGTATTCTTATCTGCGTTGGGAACATCACTATGATAAATTATAGACTAATAATGATACGTTTTACTAGACCATGAAGTTAAATATATAATACATAAATAAGCTTAAATTAATACATTTATTAAGAAAAAACACTACTATATTTTTTTCTTTTTAAGAAAAAATATGGGATTTTTTATCATCATAAATCTCTCGTATAACAATAGATGTAATATAAACTTGCCATATTTAATAAAACTTAAATAATTATATATCATTGGCACATTCTTGCTTCAATCAGTATTTATAATAAAATTAATGAGGAATAAAAGCTCAAGATCGAATAAAAAATATGACAAATTTATATTATCCATCTACCACAAGTAACAAAAAATATACAAACCATACCAGTAGTTTGTAGAACTTTCATTAAATAAAGATTTAGATTTTCGTTTAAAATAACGCTTATACATATGGCAATAATCTTATAGAATAATAAAAAATAGAATACGAATACAGTTAATACATTTTAGTTATACTATTATTTCTTCTATAGCTTAACGCTACAAATGCTAAAGTTTTGTTTTAATATATACAATGGTAGCAAACCAAAAGCAATAGTTTACTATAGTGTACTTTATACTATTATTATATTATTTTGTTTTTAAATAGTACAAAGTTAATTTTGTACATATCGGCTATGCTTACAGCAGCGTGAAGTTTTTTTATACCTATATTATATATCAACACTTTTTAAATATTACAACATAAATATATCTTTAAACTATTCAATTAATGCAACTTTATGCAATAATACAAAGTGGACTATAATTATGCATCCATCTAAAAATTGATTCAATATGAATAATAATAAAACTCAAAGATTCTTTCCAGTAATATAATTTCGAAGTTTTTTTCAAATCAGTTTAAATAAAAATATAGATTGAGATTATGAAAACGATTTCAATAATTACTATTAAACTGAAGAATCAATTTTGTATTTTATATTGCCACTATTATATATCACTTCCAGAAGTAAATTATAAAAGGGTATATTCAATTTTTAATTGCAGAAGAACTATTGATGAGTTTAACCAATGCATATATATATATATATATATATATATATATATATATATATATATATAAGATGGCTTATGTTTTTTTATATGCATGATACTGCTTTATAGTTCATATATTGTAATATGATAACTGACAATGTGATATTTTAATTTGATATGATCCTAACTTAATAAGTAAACGTCACAGTCACTACGTTCAAAAGTGAAAATTTACTTTTATTAATAAATAATCGAATAAATTTTAGGCAACTAATATGCTAATCAAATAAATGCAACAACATGGAGCGAGGAATAAATTAAATAAGCAACGCAAAATTATGAAAATGATTGAATAGTAAATACTTAGTATTTAGGATTTAATTCAGAATTTTTCACATTCAAGTCCTTATTCAAAATTGTACTAATTTAAACATTGAATATAATATATCAAGCAATTAAATGATATTAAGCTATGTTTCTATAGGCAACGATTTTATCGGCCGAAAAGAGATACATATTATGTATCAAATATGATTTAAATCAATTTAATATGACAAAAGCATTGGCAAGTCGAGGTATATTTTTTACTTGGAGCAAATTTCTTTGAAGTTTTTGCAAATCATATCATTTCGTCATTAGGACACTTATTATTATGTACGGAACAATTTCTTCGTAAGAAACGGGAAGCCATTAACTAAGAATATATTGCGCTTTTCATGTCCGCCTGACTTCTCAAAAGTAATCGATCATTTTTAAAAACATACATTCAACATGTATTGGAAATTAAACACACAGTGAAAAATGATAAATATGCCAATAATTGAGAATAAACTCTAATAAAAAATATTTTTTATATAAATGAGTAGTTGAGAACTGTGTGATAAAATTTCAAACTAGATCTTTAAGTTTAATATTAAACCCAATACAGCATTTGAATGTATGTTTAAAATTATCAATAAATAAACAAATAGTATGACTAGATACTGCAACTTTCTAAGAATATTAAAACATTATACGGGCTGCTCCAAAGGTGTTTAATAAGATAATGATTAAGTCTCTCGATATGAACTGTAATAAAAATAATCCAACGTGAATATTGATTATAATTAAGATTGTAAGCATGTGTGTTTAGATTTTAAATAAATTTATGTGTTGGAGTTGGGGATTTGTTATCATTTTTTTATATTTGATTTTCATTATTAACATACCTCTAGCCTGGTCGTTCAGTTGCAAAGTGGCGATTGACAAATGAAAAACCGCGGAACTCTTCTTGATTAATGCAGCGTAACACATCTTGTGGAACTGGAGTCAAAACTGGTTCTTCACGAGTGAAGTCTGTGTCAAAATTTAATGCATCGCGTGGACTCTTCTGCAAATAAATTTAATCCAAACATTTATAGATGAATATCCTCTATTAGATAATAATGATAAATAAGTTCCTTACAATTTTAGGTTTAAATGGAGGGCGCACTCGACGTTGCTCCAAAGCTTCCCAATCTAAATCTTTGAAGAAAACGTGATTTCTAATTTGAGTCTCATCCCCCATGCATCCTAAGCGTTTAGCTGCATTCTTAGTCATAAAGCCTGAAAATATCACATGATAAAACCATAATCAAAATTATTATAATGAAAATGCATGTTACCTTTCAGAATAGAAACGGCTTCCTTGCTCAGCCACACGGGATAAAGAACATCATCGTGCAGTATCGATTCGAATAAATCGTCTTCGTTATCGGCTTCGAATGGTGGTTGACCAGCCATCATTTCATACATGAGAACACCTAAGGCCCACCAGTCAACAGAACCACCGTACTCGAGCTCTTGCAAGATCTCGGGAGCTATGTAGTCTGGCGTGCCACAAAATGTGCTGGTGAGTGCTCCATTTAATATCCCTTCCTAAAATATAAGGAATATTATATTATAGAATAGTTAAACGATTTTATTAACCTTTGTACTTGATATCCTACCTTGCACATGCCAAAATCTGCCAGTTTACAATGCCCCTCTTGATCCAAAAGTATGTTGTCGAGTTTGAGGTCTCTGTATATAACTCCATGCCTATGTAAAAATTGCAATGCTAACGTGACCTCGGCTGCGTAAAATCTAGCACGCGGTTCATCGAATTTTCTTGCCCTTTGGATTTGAAACATTAGATCTCCTCCATTTACATACTCCATCACAAAGAACAATCGCTCCTAATTTATAAAACACACAGTTGGTAAGGACAAATTTATATTAAAACGTAATTATATGATTATAAAGAGTGAAATCTGTACCTTTGTTTGAAAGCACGAATGTAGAGCAGTTAGAAATGGATGGCGAGCTGCAAGTGCTAAAATTCGTTTTTCGGTCATGGTGCATTCGACGTCGTCGTCTTGTAAAATCGCGTCCTTTTTCAGTACCTTTACAGCATATACCTGTAAAAAATAAAAATTCAATAAATTAATTCGGATAATTAGTGGCATCGTGCCTTAAGGCAAATTGCTGAAACTTACCCGTACCGAAAACTAAATTATTAAAAACAACTTTGCAAAAATTAGATTTTCGAGAAATTTTGAATTTTTTACTTTTTTGAAAAATTTGATTTACTTTGAACATTTATTTTTCAGCAATTGCGCTGCATAGCTAATTTGGAGTCAAAATATCAAAGCGCGTGGCCGCCGCGTAGTCGTCTAACGTGCAAACATTGGTACGGAACTCATATAAATGTACACATAATTTGTACTTATTATTATAATCTTTATAAAATATCTGATAATACGATGTACATATGTCTAATGTTCATTTTTGACTCCCAAATAGCATTATTTTTTATTTTTTTTATTGGATGTTCGGAGACGCTGGACCCGCCTTTTCAAAAATTTCACCAGTTGTTCATTTCGTCAATACAAGTAAAATGTTTTTTAAATTATTTAAATCGGACGCTCAGTTATCTCAAAAACCGAAATGCCATTTTTGGCATTTTTGCCCCGTATCTCCGAAACGGGTAGACCAGCATATGCCAAAAATTAATCAGCACGTCTCCTTATCAGTAAGAATCGAATGTTTTTTTAATTATTCAAATCGGTTGATTCGTGTTCGCGAAATCGTCGATAGAAGTTTGTACCCGCCACACACACACGCACACACACATACATCCATTTTTTTCTAAGGTATGCCAAAATGTTCAGAAACCTCTGAAACGTAAGGATATATAAAAAATTTCATTTTCAATTTTTTGCAATTACTATAACTTACCCTACGGGATGTTGAAAAATCAGTTAATATTACAAATAATATAATATCAATACCGCCAATGGTATAATACCAATAAAATAATTTTTGTATTTTGTTTACCTCATCAGTTCCTTTCTTTTCAGCTAGCATAACTTTGCCAAACGATCCTTTTCCCAGAACTTTCAAAAATACAAAATCATTGAGGCCTACGCGAGCGTCGATATCGCTTTCCAAATATTCTCCACCGCCTGCACCACTTCTGTGAGATCCTGATCCCACTCCTGAAAATTGAGGAAAAAATTACTTATTAGTATCAGTATAATAATTTTGTACATATAATTAATATATATTATTATTACCTTCTGGCAAGAGTGGCATTGTACTATCCTCTCGAGAAAGACTACTTTCGCTATCACTAGATCTATCAGTAGACGCGGAACCTTCACCACTACACGGTGCTTGATTTAAATACTGCTTAATAAAAACAACAGGGCATTAGTTAAAGTTAAATATTAAATATAATTATATCAATATAATTAATATAATCATTATCCTTACCCTTGTGGATCTTCTAGGTCCTTGTTTATCTGGAGAGATTCCCATATTATTTAAAATCTCAGCCATTTTCTTTGTATTGACGCCACAATTCGAAGCAACATTTCGTTGGCAACGTTTGTGTATGTTCATACTGCAAACTGTAAAAATAAATTTTATTAAATTTAGGTATTGTTTGTAATTGTTTTAATAGATGAAAAAGTACCTTCGCATTGTAGGCCCTGTTTGACTATGCCGTAAAGTAAAGAACCACAATGGTCACAAAATGTGAAACGTTTGTAATTATGCACCACGAATCGGTGGGGTATGTTCACATTAAATCTTTGGCCACCGGGGTGTTCATCCACTTTGGGCTAAAAAGTTCATCAAATTATACAAACTTGAATTTAAAATACACGACAAGCCAAGAAGTGCTTTTTAAAGGGCAATATTACGTTATCCTCTTAAGCACTTTTTAACATTAACTCATTTTTGCATAAAAACATTTAGTTTTTTTGTATCACAATCGGTGGATGTTAATAATTCATTAAAATATAATAAATTATAAATATATTACTTCTTCTTTCATCCCAGGGCACTTTGTTACAACCGAATCGTGACATCTTTTGTGGACAACACATGTGCAGACTGAAAAATAAGGAATCGATTAATGTATCGAACTTTTGCGTCGGTATAATAATTAAATTAACAATGACATCGAGAACTATGTTATTCTAAAACTGCAAACTAATCAAATATGCACACATTCTTCTAATTGATTTGAAAATAATACGTTCTACTCAAATAACTAAACAAAATTTTTAAATATTTTATGAAATTAGTAATAGTTGAATAATAAATAAAATTAAAATTTTGAAATGCGCAATATAACGTAAATGAATAACTGATAAACTAAATACTTTAACATTAAATCTATATTTTTATATTATATCCAGTGAACATAAAATCTCAATACATCAAAATCAATTCTACAAATTATTGTATAAACAAAAGCAAAAGTTGCCGATTAACAAAATATAAAGCACATGCATTTTAAACAAAAACACAAGATAACACAATCACATAACATAAACGTGCTATATGTACGTTCGATGTGAATAAAACAAAAACTAAAAATTATTTTTAATACAGAACTCACAATATAAAAAACCATATTTTGTTATATAAAATAAACACATTTTAGTTACCAATACAATTCAAGTAAATCCGATATTTAGACAAAAGATTCAAATATACGCAACTGTTATAAGAAGAATATGAACTTCGACCCTAGTGGACTTATCTCATCATGACTTAATAGTAGGAAGATTTTAATAGTAATAATGAAATTCCATTAAATAACATCAGTAAAAATTAATAATTTACAGTAAAATATCATATAATTAAATTAATAAGTGATATGAATAATTTTGTGTAAAATAAAACTATCAAATTAAAATGTAACAAAACGTAGGTACATCGAGAATATCGATCATAAAACCAGGAATTTATAAGTATTTTATTAAATACACTAGTAAGAATATAAATAATATTCAGTTACTCAAAACGTGTTAGAAAAAAATGTTTATTTTTTTATTACATTTATTTAATATTATTAGTGTGTTAAACATTACACATTTAGATGCAAAACTTTCTAAATACGCAATCCACATCGATAATAGGATTATTTAGCGGTCACAAACATAGTGAACTACAGCATGAACTTGAAATTGAAGAAAATAAACATAATATGATGAAGAATGCATTAAATTATAAAAATACCATGAAGATGTTGCCTCTTGATATGAAAGTTCTTAATACAAAATTTCAAATTAGTATGACAAACGAGCTTGATAAATTGTAAGTACATCCATTCTCAGTAACAAAACATCGATAAACAATGAATGAGAGATAATAAAGCGTAAAAAGCCTACGCGATCAAAAATATGTCTTTAAATTCTTTTTTTAATTTTGAGCTCACCTTGACATTGATAGCCCTGCTTTCCCAATCCCCTGAAAACGACGAAACGATCTCAGTAGTGCAATAATACCAAACCCAAAAAACACACAACCCATTATAAAATGAATATTTTATGTAAAGTTAACCATTTGTAATTTGTAACTACACTAATTATGACCAGCCTCCGTACCGAAAGATACTACCGATAGAAAAACTCTTTAGGAAAAAAATCTTGCCATGGAATTATTAGGTGACTGGAACATACATAAATAATTAATTTTTGAATAAATAATAGTAAATATATAGAATTTTTTAAAATTTATTAGTCCCAAAGTTCTATAGAGTAGTTATTTTATACATCCATATATCCGAATGGACGGAAATATAACGGACGGACAGTGTAAGCATTTTTGCTAATTTGAAATTATTATTATATTTTTTTAAATATGTATGTTTTCGCCACAATTACTTCAATTCTGAAAATTTATGTTATGTTATAGGAAAAAACTCGTTCAAGTAAAATTAATTCATTTCTACCCGTGAGTTGATGGACTAATATTAATAAACACAATTCAACACCCATGCATTTTATTCAATTCGTTATATGTCGCTTATTAAATTTGTGTTTTTCTTATACACTTCAATTTTGTATATATTTTTGTTATTTCTGTTTCAGATATTACTTAAAATCTCCGATAACTAAACATTGAAAAAATAATCACAATTATTTTAGATCTAAGTACAAATGTCTAATTACAGTAATGTGATAAAATATATACTTCGATTGCTACATCAAAAATACTGTGACAATTAAGCCAAAGATTAACCCACAAGTTTTAAAAGCATAATAAAATTGGTAAATTTAAGCGATACTAAAAATATTGAATATTATTCTAAACTGACCATTTCTTTAATCGATATGCAGTACGGAATTTATATAATATCTAATTCTTGAATGTTGAATTTTAGCCAATTGTCAAAATAAAAGAAAGCAATAAATAATAAAATATTTACTTATACGTTTCGACACTGTTGTGTTTATCATTCAGCAATTTTTTTATGTTTTACAGTATCACACCAGAAAAAATAATAACAAAAATTTTAAAAATATAGAAAATAAACAATAATAAAGTGTCTATTTTGTTTTAAATAATTTATATTTAATTAATTAATTTAAATAATTTAATTGAAATTTAAAACAAAATTGTTATTTTATTATTGTTTCTTTTCTATATTTTTTCAAATTTTTGTTATTATTTTTCCTGGTGTGATACTGTAAAACCTAAAATATTGCTGAATGATGACACACAACAGTGTCGAAACGTATAAATAAAAAATTTATTATTTGTTTTTTTTTTATTTCGACAATTGGCTGAAAATCAGCATTCAAGAATATGTCTCAACGTCAAACAAAACAATCTAAATCTTATAATATCTAATATAAATATACTTGAGTTTATTTGATTAAATATACCTTTGAAAGGGTGTTGAATATGTAAGTCTTGTAAAAATATAAATCATGATATTTATGAAGAAACTACAGTACGAATTAAGTATAACAAATAATTACTAATTCAAATTTTTAATTGAAAAATTAATACTGCAGTATCTTCAAAAACAAAAAATCACCACATTTAATAGATAGACTTATTGATTATTTATATCGGTGATGTAATAACTATGTCTCAATCCTCGACAGATATAACAATTAAATACACCTAAGTCTGTTTTTACACGGTAGATTGGTTCCAGAAGACGCCGTGTAAAAAAAAAGTGTAAAAAAAGGCATTGATCAAATGGGTGATTTGTTCCTAATCTCTAAAACCTATTAAAATTAGTGAAAAACAAGAATTTTTAAGAACAAGAATTCATGTTTATTTTATTAAATCAAATATATAATGCTTATTTTCACAAGCATAGTAATTAATGATAAAAAAAGATATGCATTCTAATCTTAAAAGTAATATAAATTAAATGTATGGCAAGTTCAGGAACTAAAAAACTATGTTGTGAATGAAAAGAATAGGTTATTCAATTTTTAAGGTAAAAAATACAATAAAATAGAATAAGTGATAATCATAAATACAACAACATAAATTTAATTGCTGTCGTCATCATAATTCGCTGTATTTTTTGTGATATGAACATACTTCGCAAAAATTAAATTTGACAAAAAAAATTTAAGTACATAAAATTTCAAACCATGCTAAATGGAATAAAATCGTGTAAAAAAATTAAAAATATTCAATTTTCAAACCGTGTTATATCAAAACCGTGTACAAAAAGACCGTGTAAAAACAGACTTAGGTGTATAAAGAAAATTTAGATGTAGAGTTTATACTTTTTTTTTAAATTAAGTAATTTCAAATGTGGTAATCCTGTTCAATATCATTAACAAATGTCCATTTATGATACTGTTATGTGAAATGATTCACCCCGAAATACATGCTATCCCAATATTAGAAGAAACAAATAAAATAATCACTTACCAAATAAATTCTCGGCAGTGGGAACAAAACGTCGGTTGGCGCAAGAAAGTTGCCATAAATTTATGACCATTGACCTGATGAACACGCCTTCTCATGGCACCCCGCCGACGGTTGAATCCGGCGCTGTTTGCCTTGAATTCCCGGCCTCCTGATGCGCCTCCGCCCTGGCCTATAGCCGCTCCTGCATTTGAAGCCGTTTGATCTGGAGGAGAATAAAAAATACCATTAAAATACTTGGCATTTAAGACTAAAAATTATCTTGCTATTTAAATTTTGTGTGGTTTGAGTTACTATTTTTTTATTATTTAAATTATTCTGCAATCTGTTTTACATGAGCATTTTAAGCAGAAATTGCTAACAATAATTATCTTACAATATAAACCAGAAGATAGTAGTAACACACAGCGGCGTGTCTACTAGGTAAATTACTATATGGTTCCAATTAATATACAAAATTCTATGTGAATACAATAGCCAGCTGATTGAATGAGTATTTCTATATAAGATACGGTAGGGCGGTAGGCTTGAAGGTCCGCGGGTAAATAGGTCGACCACCAATATTTTAAAAACAAGTAAAGTTAGGAAGTTTTTCACAACAATATTTGAAAGTAGGGGGAAAAAGATGTGTAATCAGTCATCAACCTAATTCTTACGAATTTGCTATTAGGAGACAAACGGTAATAAGGCTGTTCTAAGGAGCGCGTACATTTGTTTCCAGAATACTTGTTCAATTCTCACAAATATTATTCATCCATCTTTGTCTACCTGACATAATAAATAATTTCCTTCCTAGTATAGGTACAAAGCTAGTTTATAGAAATTATTCATTCTGTACGCATAACCATGAACATCAAAAAATAAATACTGTTAATAACTAAACCAACTTATTTAACTTACTTATTTTTAAAGGTCTGATATAGCCATTCTAATAATAAATTATATCTGGTCCTTCGAGGTAGTAAAGTGTCCAAGTGTATTG